CAGGAAGCCAGCTCCCCAGAGAGGAGATGGCCTCCACGTGGCCAAGTTGGGTGGTGGTGTCCCATCACCGCTCCAGATCCCTCCTGCTCCAGGGCCATTGCACAGACAACCCACAGGCTCCTCCTGAGCCACCACAGTGGGCTCCCCATTGGCATCCAGTTCAGTGTAACAACTTTCTGATGGGCCCAGAGGTCAGCTGCCTCTCTCATGCCCAACCTCCTGATTCACAGGACACTCAGATCCAGCTGGATGACTCAATCCGGGCTAATGATGACCTGAAAGAAAACATTGCCATTGTGGAGCGGCGCAACAACCTGCTGCAGGCTGAGCTGGAGGAGCTGAGGTCTGTGGTGGAGCAGACGGAGAGGTCCCGGAAGCTGGCTGAGCAGGAGCTGATTGAGACCAGCGAGCGGGTGCAGCTACTGCACTCCCAGGTGAGCGGTTCTCCTGGGCATTCCTGGAGTCAAGCACAAGCTGCAGGACCCAGCAGGTGAGGTTTGGAAGCCAGTCATGGATTCTCAGTGCTCTACCCACTCCTGCCCTCAGAACACCAGCCTCCTCAACCAGAAGAAGAAGATGGAGGCAGACCTGTCACAGCTTCAGACTGAAGTGGAGGAGGCGGTGCAGGAGTGCAGGAACGCCGAGGAGAAGGCCAAGAAAGCCATCACAGATGTAAGTGCCACAACCCCGCCCACCTGCTCCAGACCAGTGTCTCCCTGCTGGGCCGTGAGTGTGAGAGGACTCAGCCACACCCCGTCTCACTTCTCTCCTGCCCACAGGCCGCCATGATGGCGGAGGAGCTGAAGAAGGAGCAGGACACCAGCGCCCACCTGGAGCGCATGAAGAAGAACATGGAGCAGACCATTAAGGACCTGCAGCACCGGCTGGGACGAGGCTGAGCAGATCGCCCTCAAGGGTGGCAAGAAGCAGCTGCAGAAGCTGGAGGCCCGGGTGCGGGAGCTGGAGAACGAGCTGGAGGCCGAGCAGAAGCGCAACGCAGAGTCGATCAAGGGCATGAGGAAGAGTGAGCGCCGCATCAAGGAGCTCACCTACCAGGTGGGGCTGGTGGCTGCTCTGGGGCAGGGTCCTCTGCATTATGGCCTGAAGCCAGGGTGACGACCATCCAAGAGGAATGAAGTGTTCTCTGTGAGCTTCTTCCAGGGCAAAGGGTGGAAGTGTAACCCCTGGAAGCCCATTTTGACATCACTGACTCTGTCCTACCCTCAGTGTTTCCTGGCACAGAGGCCAGTCCCTGAGACTCCTGGCTGAGAGCTTTACCTCAGCATTCACCCTCAGCCTGTCCGCTGGGGACACACACAGAACTCCAGCCAGAGCTCAGCCTGCACAGTGTTACCAGAAAGCAAGTATGTGGCCAAGCTTTAGCCTGGCACCATCACCACCAAAATACATCAAAAGCATGCCAAAGCCATTCAGACAAATCACAAAACTTTTCAGTTATGCCAGGAGATACAGACTTTAGCTTTCCATGGTGTTTTCTAGAATAGATTCTCACTTAGATTTTGTTTCTGTCCAATCCAGAAAGTCACCACCCCTCTATGCACATTTTTCCTTAATCTCGATCAAGTCTATGTCATTTCCCTGCAGCCCAGGAGATCCCATCACACCTGTAGTCCCAGAGCCACTGCCAGGGCCTGCTGGGTTCCAGAACTGTGAAGTTTGTCCTCTGGGGGGTCCCAAGACCTCCAAGGGCCTGCTCCCCAAAACAGTACACACACACAATTTTCCTCGCACTTTCTAGAGTCCTATCAGCTCCCTAGACCTTTTCCTGAAACATACCAGCAAAAATATTTATACTTCTTTGGGCCAGATGAAAAATTATAAGGATAACCCAAGTGTTTGGTGAGGATCGGAAAGTAGAGTAAAAATGCCCAGTGAGGGAATGGGGCATGCCTCCTATGACTGTGCGGTCCTCACTCCTGACCACCTCTGACCCCCAGACAGAAGAGGACAGGAAGAACCTGCTGAGGCTGCAGGACCTGGTAGACAAGCTGCAGCTGAAGGTCAAGGCCTACAAGCGCCAGGCCGAGGAGGCGGTGAGTGACCTTGCTGCGGACTGAGCCTGGCGGAAGGACAGGGGAGCCAGTGCTCAGGTTGGGAGGCTGAGAACCCCAGGCCCCCTCTCACCTCATTCTCCCCCCAAACCCTCACAGGAGGAGCAGGCCAACACCAACCTGTCCAAGTTCCGCAAAGTGCAGCACGAGCTGGATGAGGCGGAGGAGCGGGCGGACATTGCTGAGTCCCAGGTCAACAAGCTGCGGGCCAAGAGCCGTGACATTGGCACCAAGGTGGGTTCCCTACCCCCAGGCAATGTTAGTGGTCCCCACAGAGGTGAGCCCCCATCAGTGCCCAGACTCAGCCCCCAATACAAGGATGCCTTCTCTTTATTCATCCTCCACAACTGAACTCCAAGGCCCTAGAGGGCAAGGTGATTCTGTCCTCTGTGATTTCTAAGGTTCTTTCAGCTCTCACTTTCAATCATTTTGCAAATCTCAGCCTTAGGGTAATCAGCAACCCTAGAAAACCCTACTTTGTATATCTACCCAGTATGCTCCAGTTCCTCCCAGCTGCTGGGCTCCTCTTCTCTTTCACCTCGTTTTGACCTACAACCTTGCAAGGCAAACTTAAAGTGGACAGGCCAAAGCACCCCTTGTCCTCACCCACACAACTCCCTCTGGTGGACCCCAGAGCCCTACCACCCAGAACGTGTCCTCCACACTGATCCCTGGGACACATCTCCCACCATCACAGGGCCCCTGTCAGACCACACAGCAGTCCTCCACCCCACTGAGGGCCCTGTCTCCCCTTTGTTTCCTGTGCCAATCCCTACCCAACTCCCACCTTTCCAGAGCTAAGTTGGACTTTATTTCCTTTCAAAGGGCTTGAATGAAGAGTAGCTTCGCCACAGCTTCTTGATCTGCTCAGCCCTGAGGGTACCAACAGAGTTCCAGTCCTAGAACCTATAAAACAGCCTTTTTGGGGGAAGCAGAATAAAGCAATTTCCCCCGATGTGAAATCCTACCTCTGGACTCTTCTTCACTGCCTGCCAGCCACAAGGACACGCATACTGGGATGGACACAGGAGTGAGGGGAGGAAGGGCAGCTTCACAGGCTGGACCAAGGAGGCCTCCCCGGGGTGTCTGTGAGGCTCTGAGCATCCCCAGTGCAATGATGCCTGTGTTCCCCTTCACCTCCTCCTCAGAAGCTGACACCTCTCCTCCCAGCCCTCTCCCTGGCTCACAGACACTCAAAGTTAAAGAGATTTAGGGGAAACTCTTAAGACTTGCCTAGAGCATGCGAGCCACTCTGCTGTGGACAGACATCCCAGCTCTGATCAATGCTACCCCACCACCATCAACAACAACACCAAGGCTGGGCTGGGCGGAGGAGGGTTAGTGTGTAGGATATACTATGAGGTGTGACCCACTTGGACAGGTAGGGTAATGAGCCCCAAGCCCAGTCAAAGAGGGTCTCTGAGAGGGCACAAGGACTTAAAGCTGTAGCCCACCACCCTTCCCAACAGCCATCACTGTCTCCAACCTCCCCCAGAGGCCAGGCCCCTCTCCCCACCTCACCAGGAGAACTATACCCTTAGCCCACCTTCCATCCTGGCCCCTCCATCCAAGGGGCTACTTTCTTCTCCCTCATTTCTTCCACTATAATTTCTTTTCACAAGACCCTCTTCATCTGAGTTTGCTGGAAGGTGGGGACTCTTTGGTCCATTTATGACAGGCTATCTCTAAAGGAAGCAGGCAGATGAGGGACTGGGAAGAGACATGTGTGAACCAGACTCTGAGGGGAAAAGGAGGAAGGGACAGGTCACTGAAGGGCTGGGAGGAAAAAGCAAGCCCCACTCCAGTGAAACCAGCCCAGGCCCCTGGAGTCACTGCCACACCTGGGCTGCTTAGCAAGGCCTGGGACTATGGGACCATAGAGGGCAGGGGCTCAAGAGGCAATGGGACCGTTGGCCTCCTGTTGAGACTCCTGAAGCCTTGGTTCACCCCTGAACTGAATCTCCCCAAGCCTACCACACATAGCCACTCCCAGCCAAGATCCCGCTCCACCCCCCACTCTGACCCTGAGCTTTGAATGCAACAGTCAGAGTGAGGGCAAGATACCATCCCAGGACTGAGGGATGCCAGTGTTAGATTACAGGAGGGGAAGAGACAGGGGATAAAGGGAGAAGGAAAGGAAAAAGGAAAGACCTGAGGAAAGAGAGAGGGAGAGAGCTCAAGAAACTGGGGCACAGGAGGACCAGGGAAACCAACAAAGAGAAAAGATACAGGAAGTGAGGAGAAAAGGTCCACGGTCCCTCCCACCTTTCTCCTCATACCTTTCTCCATTCTCCCACCCTAGGACCACTTCTTTTCCTAGGAAGGACTTGGACAGCAATGAGGAAATCAGTAGGGAAAAGAGAGGGACACACTTGAGAAGAGAGATGCAGGGGACACCCAAAGAACCTAAGTTCCTGAAGCAGAAGACAGTGGGATCTGGATGCTGAGAGAATGGCAGGCAATAGCAGGTGTGAGAGAGAACTGGCAGCTGAACCACAGGAGAGGAGGGTGCTAAGAGGGGATGGAAGAGGAGAAGGGAGGATGAACCTTGGATAGAGGAGCTGGAAGAGCTGACGGGGGTGATCTTGGACCTAAGAAAGAATCCTGGGTCACCTTCAGATGCAAGGAAAATCAGGAAAGCCGAGAACAGTGAGATTAGAAAGAGGTCAACAAAGACCCTGGAGCAAGATGTGGAAGCAGAGATGAGACAGGCAGAAGGACAAGCAGAGATCAGTGTCAAAGAAAGCAGAGACTCATGAAAACATAGGCATTTCAGACCCCTAGATGGACAGAAACATGGCACAGGCCAAGTCTGACTTTGAGAAAGGGAACCAGGCATAGGGAAGGGATTGTCAGACTCAGAGACAGACAAAGATACAGGGAACCAGGCAAAGAGAGGCGACTTGGTGCCAAGGACGCTGGACTTACCTCTTTATCCCCTCACCTGTGTCAGGAGCCTCCATCCGTGCCCTCACACTCTAGGACTTCCAGCAGAATTAGGAGCTGCTTTGGAAGGAGCTGAGGGAGGATGGAGAGCATGTGTGGGTATGAGAGCCAGGGGAGTGGAAGGGGCCTAGGAAAGGAAGAGGAGGGCAAACCAGACCACAGAGGGGCAGAGCCCTGGAACAAAATTAGCCCCTTCCCTCCTCCTCCTTCCATAGGACACAGCAGGAACTGTCTGCCACCCTTCACCCGTCTCTCCACCTACATCGAATCTGGCATGCTCAGAACACAGGGTTCCCTAAGGACAAAGCCTAGTCTTTGTCACCTGGACCTGACCTAGCCCGACCTGGTGTTCTCAGCCCCTTATCTTGTCCCCAGAGCAATGGGAACCAGGCATGAGGCACTGAGCCAGGACTAACCCCCCAGTTTGCACAATGGGGCCTCAAATGACCTAGAGCTGGGGACAGGTGGCCTGTATTCCCTGGGGTAACAATTTGACATATGCACCTGCAGGAGATGGGAATGTGGGCTTGACTCACAAGACATCGGATATAGGATACAAGTCGTCTGGAGACAGATGTATATTCCTGAGTCTGATAATGGGGCAGTGGAGGGCCCTAGGGAGTTGGGGACCTTGAGAGAGAAACCTCATATTTAATGGAAAACTCTCCTACCCAGAGAAGCTGACCCCTGTCTGTCCTACCCACCTCCACACTCTAGAGCTATATTGAGAGGTGAGAGTAGATGGGGTGGAGGGGGGAGAGGGGGGAGCTGGGAGAGTATTCTTGGGTGTGACGGTGTAGGGGAAAGCCAGAGCAGGGGAGTCTGGCTTTGTTTCCTGAACACAATGTCCACTTAGTCATAACAGTCACGGCTGCTGAAGACCTGACACCTACTGCATTTGAGAGGTGGCATCAGTGGAGGCTGGGGAGGGAGACCTTGAGGGCCTGGGGCACTTGGGGACACCATGAAGAAGGGCATGTGAATATGAACCCCACTGGGTTGGAAGGGGCACCAGAGTTCTACCTGGGAAGGGGTGGCAGACTACAGAGCTCCACCCGCACCCCCACCCCAGGTAACAAAGAGCAAAAGGCCCAACTGTTGTAAATCTCCAGGCCTGCCAGGCCTCGGCCAGCTTCAGCAGCACCTGCACTCTCTGGCAGTCCAGAGAGGTGGAAGGGGGAAGCCCCCCACCCCTACCCCTCTTCCCTCAGGCCCCAGGGATTAATGCCTCCTTGCTGCCCCCCACCAGGAGCAAAGGGTGTTGGGGGAGACAATGTATGTGTGCAAATGTGTGTATCTGTGCATAACAGCAAGTAGGATAATTTGCAAGATTAAGCTTATAAGTGTGAAAATTCTGCATATGTGTGGCTAAGCATGGGTGTGGACATGTGGTGGTCAAGCTTATATATAAGGGTCCTGGACTGTTGGTCTGGATACAGATCTGCTGTGGTGGTATGAGGAAACCCCCTTTCCCCTGTTTGAGAGGTTGGATGGTGGGCAATGTATCAGGAGCATGAGGGGAGGGCTTGGGGGCTCCAGATATGTCCCTGAGGCAGCACAGCCTCAAGTCTCCAGGACACCTGCATGAAAACTTGGGGAACAGAAGGTAACAAGACACAAACTTTGTGCTGAGAGACAGCAGCACAGACATCATGGAGCTGATCCACAGACCCTTCCCCTGGGCATCGTGGCTTCAGCTCCCAGTACTTGCACTGTAGAACTCCAGGTGGGAGAGTGGGAGATGCTCCCAGCCTGGGGCTGTGTGAGGACAAGCCAGAGTGAAAAAGAGAGGGTGAAAAAGATGGGGGGGAGCCTGTGGTTGGAGGGCAGGGGACAAGTATCTGGCCTGCAGGAGAAGGTGACCCTCACCCAGTGTGCTCAACTCACCCTTCAGGTTAAAAATAACCAAAGTAAGGGAGGGGGTGGTGGTGTGAGAAGGTGCTGTCTTCCCACTATCTGCCCATCAGCCCTTTGGAGGGGAGGAATTTGCACAAGGACTAAAAAAAGGCCCTGGAGCCAGAGGGGCTAGGGCAACAGACCTTTCATGGGCAAATCTGGAAGCCCAGTTGTCCTTCTCTCACCTCCAGAGCCAAGGGATAGAGGGAGGAGGAGCTAGAAGAGGAGAGAGGTGGGAGGGAGGGTCCCTCCGGAAGGACTCCAAATTTAGGCAGGGGGTGGGGGCAGCAGGATATAAAAGGAGCAGGCTGCAAGGACAGACAGATGCTCCTTTGACCCAGGTAAGAGGGGGGGTTGGGTGGGGGCTCTGTGGCCCATCCCTAGAGCTCCTAACTTGAGAGACTCTGCCTTCACGGGAGAGTGGGGTGCAGGTCGGTTGGAGGCCCCAGGGTGCTGCTAGAACTGCCTTTCTCCAGCCCTGGGAAGTTCCCACTGACAGAGACGTTTCAATGGGAAAATCAGAAACCTCTTTTCTTCTCCCATCTGCCTTTCTTTCTGGCAACTGTCATCTGCTTTCTGTGTCCTCCCAACACTGTCTCCATTGTTCTCCCTCCTCTAATGGCTTTCCTCTCTTTGTCTGGTTTTATTTTGCTTCTTCATCTTTGTCAATACTCATCATACTTCTTTGTCTCTCCCCCTTGTTCTTCCTTCTTGGTTGTGTGTTCTAATCTCTTGCTTCTCTCTGTCCCCGACTCTGATTCCACATCCGACTGCTCACTTCTCCCCGGCGGGCCGCTGCCATGGTTCCTCATCCTCTTTGTCTCTTCTCTCTGCCTGCCTGCACCTCTGTGGCTCCACCCACGGTCCAGACTCCAGAATTCTTTGTGAAGTGGTAACCAGGTGAGAACCACTCAATTTTCTCCTGGAAACCAGGTTGCTAGAACAGGGACTCACTGTCTGTCCTTGGAGCAGCTCAGCACCCCTCCTTGGCAGACTGCAGCCAGTTCCACCCCCTGCAGACCCCTCACAGAGATTCTTCTTCAGTGTCACTTTAGAGGGCAAGGGAACAGAACTTGAGCAAGGAGGACTGGACTGAGAGCTTCTCAAGGGAGGGGCTGGAAAAGCGATAGGACCCAGGTGGTGATGAGAAGGTGGGGCTGGGAGTGGGGTACAGAGAGCAGTGCCACCTACTAAGGCCTGGGCCCTCCTATCTCAGTCACAGAGGAGCAACAAGATGAGTGACGATGCCCAGATGGCCGAATTTGGGGAGGCGGCCCAGTACCTCCGCAAGTCAGAGAAGGAGCGTCTGGAGGCCCAGACACGGCCCTTTGACATCCGCACTGAGTGCTTCGTGCCTGATGACAAGGAAGAGTATGTCAAGGCCAAAATTACATCCCGAGAAGGGGGCAAGGTCACTGCGGAAACCGAGAACGGCAAGGTGTGTGAAGCACAGGGCCAGGGGAAGGAGAGGAAAGGTTTTGGGGAGGTGCAGGGTGGAGCCACTTGCGGTGGGAGCTGCAGGGTCCTGGAGAAGAGCCAAAGCCAGCAGGGTGGCAGGACATGCTCCCTTGAGGAGCCCTGTATCTGAGTGAGAACTCTGATCTTCTCAGGTGGACCTGCGCAGGTATGACAGAGCACCATCCCAGCATTGCACACTCCTTGCCAGAGAGGATTCTGGAAACCTCTGCTGGTTTTCTCCTCAGAGGGATCTTATTAATAGAGGGCATAGTCACAACATCTCATGAAGTTCCCTTCTCAGATTTGTTTCCAGCTTCTCTGTGCCTCAGTTCCTCCATGAACAAGCTCCCCCTAATTCTCCTCACCCAAACCAAGAGCAAACTCATAGACCCAGATGAACACAAAGAGCAGGAACTCCTAAGCTGAATGGTCAGTCTTGAGGCTGGTGACTTGCTCTCAGAAGTCCCCAGTCCCTGGTCTCTCACACCATCTAAGAATTGGCACTGGTCACCAGCAGCAGCTCAGAGTCATATGCCTCACAGACACACTTACTGAACATTGCATCCCATGGAGGTGTGGAACTGTGGTCACAGCCCACTGGGGGTTTTGACTCTTACCCCAGCTCTGCCACGAACTAGCCACTGTGCCAGGAAATCATTTCATCTAAGCCACAGTGTCCTCCACTGTAACAAATGCTATAATACCTGCCCACAGGATCTAATGATGCCAGGGCATGGCAAACTGACTGGCACCAATAAAACCAGTGACGGTGGTCTTTAGGGAAACAGGGTAGATGTGTGAGACATTTTTCCAGTAGAGGTGAAGGCTTGCCTCAAGCACTGCCCCCAGGAGTCATGGTAAGGTTATGTGCGCAGATGGCAGAGCTGGTGGCCCTCCAAGTCTGCCCCTAGATGCTTGAAGCAGCGACTGAAAAGCAATACTCAGGCTCACAGGGTCTAGGGTATTAACAAGATGCAGGGACTCTAGGACTGTCCTTAGAGTGGGAGAGATAGTGAGTGGGTAGGCAAATTTTCTAGGAAGTTCTGAAGTAGGACCTGGGTACTAGTTGGAGAAGAGCTGGGGGAGCGAGGCGAGGTAGTGGCCTGTGTTCTGGGAGGAGGTAAGTGGGAGAGGCTGGTGATCACAGACTAGAAGGTATACTCATCCTGTCCTACTGCCCATGCTCCCTCCCTAGACAGTGACCGTGAAGGAGGACCTTGTGTTGCAGCAGAATCCGCCCAAGTTCGACAAGATCGAGGACATGGCCATGCTGACTTTTCTGCATGAGCCTGCTGTGCTCTTCAACCTCAAGGAGCGCTATGCCGCCTGGATGATTTACGTGAGTGCGTTCTGCACATGGCAGGGAGCCCATCCTGGATCAAGACCTAAGTAGGCCAGGGCAACATTCTGAAGGCGAGAAGGTCAAAACTCTCCCAAGGGACCCACCCCCCTCCCCCTTCCTGTCCCTGGTCAGCTGCAACAAGAGAAGAGCCAGCTGGGGTGACTAGGGACTCTCCTGCCTGTCACCACTGCCCATCCGGGGTTCTCCCTCCCAGCCTCTCATGCCTGCCTGTCTTCTGCTCCAGACCTATTCAGGCCTCTTCTGTGTCACTGTCAATCCCTACAAGTGGCTGCCGGTGTACAACGCTGAGGTGGTGGCTGCCTACCGGGGCAAGAAGAGGAGCGAGGCGCCGCCCCACATCTTCTCCATCTCTGACAATGCCTATCAGTACATGCTGACGGGTGAGCCCTGTGGCCCTGACCTC